CGAAAGGACTGGTGATCATGGTTAAGGTTTTCGGGGCAGGAAGATGGATATGTTGCACATTAGTACTGCGTGCCTTTGTGTAACCTCTGAGGACATGAGCGGATGAACCCTTAATGCGCAATCTTTAGCTTACAGGTCAACAATAACTTCAACCGTAGCAATCTGATTGTTAATTTTTAAGTCATGGCATACGATAGACCTAATGAATCCAGTGTGTTCATATAAACGGATAGTTACATATTTACCCAGCAACAAAAAAGATAAGACTCGGTAATTCACAATCCTCTTTGACAGATACAAAAGCAGGACTGCAACAATAAGAACAAAGTTACCAAAATGGGAAATTTGAGAGACCAAAATAGTAGACTTTGGCTACCGACTTCCCCTAAAATCTCATTACGGCGTACGAAATAAATATCACCGTGTAGTAGTGAAATGTCTGGAAAGGGCAGGCCTTGAGATGTGATTGAAGCTTTACAGGGTTTCGGAATAATTGACTGCATCCTTCGGGAAGGTGAAGTTTGACGGATCATTTTCAGTCAAAATCCAGTGCTGGGAAGTTTAAGATAGAAAAAAATAAGCAGAAATGTCGAAAGTAAGGGTCACCAACTCTCTAGAATACTGATCATCTTCTCAACATTCTTCTCATCGAAGAGGAAAAAGAATAACGAGTACACGTATGAAGTAAGCCTTTAGTAGAATCTAAAGTTATCTGACAATTTAATTCAGGGTCATACATATAAGAAGAAATCGAAATTCTTACGTTTGGCCATAATTATGATGAGATAAGTGTATCTTGTAGGCATGAAATAACAGTTACAGCAAAGCGATTGTTCCTTAAATACAGGCTGGATATCAATAATAATTCCAAAACAATTGCTTCTTCGTTGCCATTTATCGCTGTGAAATCTACATGCGGTGCCTATTTAGTGACCACATGGTTTTGGCGTAGATAAGAGCTAGTTTAATCTGTGGCATGCTTTTGCTAGTATGTCTGTGCCTTGAGAAACCAATGGTTTATTGAGCAAACAATGGGTTACCATGCGTACGTCTGTTCCAAAACTAGACGCCAGAGCATGTAACGTAGCCCATTTAAAGGAAAATTAATCGAATAAAGTAGTTTTCGGGCGGGCTATTCAGCAGAATTCAAAAAAACGTCCGTAAATTCTGTGGGGATATCAGTCCTGCCATTATTTGGGCACAATAAGCTTACTGCTGCAACGATGCTGATACTGGAAAGGTGATTAGTGTCAAGTTACTTTAATCATACAAAAGCGACAGAGCCATGCGCCGACCAGAAAACACGACGGATGGACGGGCACTGACGCCAAAATACGCGGAGTACCGTAAGAAACAATTGTTAACTTATAAAATGGGATGTATCAAAAAAAAACTAGATGAAGGTAGTGGAGAGTCTGTTGATTCATATTCGTAATCTTTGTCAGTGCGCGGAATGCATAAAATTGCGAGATAAGGGGGGCTCGCCGGATCAGTGCAATTGAGCAGCTGGTGTGTCTTGTGGTCCCCTGGCATAGCACGGTTGTTCATTTGAAGTTAAAACTATGGCCAGTTTCTGCGATGTGGGTTGGAAACTCTGGGTTCGAGTCAAGTCTCCGAGTTACGGGTTAGTACTCTTGTTGGCGGGCCTGATATTTCCGTCCGGTTCCTACAACGTAGTTTCAACTTCCATCCTTGAAACGCAGTATGTCTTTAGGTTTAAAATAACTCAAGCTATTACCAATAAGGTATGTTTTGCTATAATTTTGTTAAAATGACCATGCAACTTTGTGGAGTTAGCGTAAGGCAGTTGTGCGTTCATATTGTAAAATGCGATGAAGAGGCCTCCAAATGCTGAAAGGAGGGGTTTGCAATTCGACGAGCCCTCAAGAGTGGACAGCATTGAAAGGGCAATTGAAATGCCCAGCGTGTTTTCGGAACTGTCAGGAAAGCACGATCCTACCGACAATCCAAAGCGCAAACCGATGAGGCTGCATGCGCGAAATGTGTGCGTCGACGGTTTTGGTTTGTTACTGCATCAGATATCACAGAAGGAAGACGATTGAAACCGAGTTCACCATGAAGGCAGCCGCCCCACGATCGCTAGGATAATGCCAGTATTTGCGAGAGGAGCGAGACTAAAACAGCGTGAACCAGAGGTAGAGGTTGGGCATAACACAACGCTCAACTGGTATCGCGCAGCCGCGACGTATGCACAGCGGCCATGATGAAGGAAAGCAGGCAACTTGGAGGGAGGGGAATGGAAATGAAGATTGAAGGAACGATGGACAGCAGAATGAAATATAATTTCAGAGGAACGCGAAGGCCATACTGGATACTTGGAATCTGCGATACCTCGCAGCAAAAAGCAGCTTTTGTGCAGGTCAGTAACAGAAAGTGGTCATTATGGGCCATTATGGTCGAATGAAAGGCATACAGTGCCATAATTACAGAAGGGCACAAGCACTACACTGTTAGCCACTCCGGGAATTTTGTGGATTGTGAAACAGGCCACCAAGTAAACGCTATCCTGGCTGAAGATGAAACTGCATGAAGGCGGGTCGGTCTCCGGAAAGTCTCTCTGGCCTCGTCTGGATAAAGCCCAATTCAGAACACGGATCCGTCTCGACCAAATTGATCTGGGTGTGGCCTGTTATACCTGTATTCGATATCTTGCGCAGGCGTTTTCGGTTAAGCCGAACAGCCGATTCCGAAGTATTTTCAACAAGTACTTAGACAAATTGATGGCGTTATTTAAATTATGTAAATATTCCTTGTCCGTGCACGCAATGATAGCGGCCGCGATGGGTGTGTCAGGGAAAAGGTGGTCGCCGAGAGCGACGTGTTTAATGAAGCCGAACCCGATACCAGAAATTGCAAATGACAGATTGGTGTGTCAGCAACGCTGATAATCCCATCGGCTAACGGTAAAGCCACGTTACGAATACGTAGGTCAGGTGAGATGGCAATTAATTGAAAGTGTATCCTAACGCCAGACGACTAAGTGAATAAAACCATTAGTATGGATTGTAACCTATCGAAAGATTAACTGAACCTACCAATGGACACAAGGAAAATCCCTAGAGCTAGACCATTACGAAAGACTTCCTCGTGGGGATGCAGTGGCTCACCGGATAGTATCATTGTCGAAGCCGCTGAAAAAACTATGTTGAACATGTGGTCAGTACTGATGTCAACTTTTTCTAAGCTTAACCGGAGCCCCAGATGCCTATGGGAAGAAAACCCCTGCTACGGATAGCAGTTTATCGAAAATTACACCGAATTTGGGGAAGAAAACCCCCAGTAATTCCTTCACGAAAGATTTCCCTTTAGGAGGTTTGCGGTGACTGAACGAAGGGCAATGCTATTGAGCTGGTAAATCAACGTCAGTGAAAGTTATGAATGCCTAATGATCGAAAATTGAACGGAGGCTAACGAGGTTTTGGGTCAGAAAATCTCTAGAACTTGCAGTTTCCGAAAGTTTTTCGTGTGGGGATGCGGTAATCTAACGGATGTCATCAATGTCTTACCCGTTAAAGGCAACACTGTTTAACCTGTCGTTTGTAGTGATGGCAACGCATTGACAGAATGGAGGGAATAAAACTGCTGATATGGATGACATCCAATCGAAAGATAAATCAAACATAAGAAGGGAAGAAGGACATCTATAGAACATGACGTTTTCGAAAGATTTCCCTATGTGGCAGCAGGGACTGAAAGGATGTTGTCGTTTTCGTAGCCAATAAAGGCAGCTCTGTTGTGCCTACGGTGGTACTGATGGCAATTCGTCCAAAAGTAAATTGAACACCAGGGGAGAGGAGACAGAACAGCTGATATGGATGACAAAGCATAGGAAGGCCTACCGATTCTAACGGCGTCGGGGGAAGAAAACCCAGTAGCTCTCGCCTCCTTAAAAGATTTCGTTTAGGTCTGCAATGATCGAACGGATGGCATCTCTGCAGTAGCGGTTAAAGCAACGCTACTGTTTGTAATTCAGTAGGCAGCAATGTGTAATGTGCAATACCGGGTCGTATATCGCGTCCCTGCTGGGATTTTGTCTCAGGGAACGAATTGTAGACAAGATATTCGGAAAGTAAAATAATGTCTCATTGCGAAGTATCGCAATATTGCACTGCCCTGCTCCAAATACAATACACCATGAAATTATAGAATAAATGACACTGCTGGAGTATTTAAAAAGACCTGCGTCGCAAGGTTTTCGAAGATGGACAGGGCAGATTGTCTCCACATGTTCATTATATGCAGTGCTTCTATCGTGTGCTGCAAGGTCTTGAAATCAGTCAAGCTGGTGAATTGTAGCCCCGTTCCTCGAGCTTGTCCAGTGTCGCAAACATAATGATCTTCAGTTACTGCGACAACTTTCTGCAAGTAAACATAGATCGAGTCCTTAGGCGTATACACGCGAAAGAGACTTTGGTGTGTCCTTAAAGGAAACAGGGAATAAAGTATTCGTTTGAAAGATATAAAAAACTGAATAAATTCATAAAAGCATCCAAGTGAACGCGTGTAGTTATGCTTGGTTGAGTTTTCCCGGTAAAATGAAGCATTCATTTAAATTATCTAAAGAGCATGACGTATAAAGGTAGAAACCTGTTTTCATAAATGATTTGGAGTTGACCTCTTGTGCAGATACAGTAATTGTGTACATTCATAAAAGGAGATTGATCATCATCATGCAAAAATCCTTCACTGCTATACAAACAGGACAAATGTCTTTACGCCACTTTTGATATCGTTGCTAGTTGAAGGCCTGTGTACGTACATCGCATGGCACTTTCCAACTGCAATGGCTGACGAGTAAGCCGTCTTGAAGCAGATGCAGCCCTAACACTTGTCGAGGCTTAGCTGATTCGTCCGAAGGAACTGAGAGTTCCAGTTCCTTTATCCTACTCCGATTGGGCCGCTGCAGTCATTGTGGTTAAAGAGTCCAATGGCTTATTCCACATTTGTGCTGACTTCTAAACCGGCCCAATGACGCGCTGATGCTGAACTGTTATGCACTGCCGTTTCCGGCTAACCTTTTCACCCTGCTGAATGGGCTCACTCGCTTTGCCAAGTTGGATCTCGCTCATGTGTATCTGCAGATCGAGGTCGTCCCAGAGTCGCGCGAATTGTTGACCATCAACATCCACCGCGGTCTGTTCCAATACACAAGGCTGCCAATTGTTGTCAAGGCCACACCGGTCCAACTCCAACAAACGATAAACGAAATTCCCTCCGGCATCTCGGGCACATCTGGTGACCTGGACGACATCAGAATCGTGGGCGGCTCCTCTGGCAAGCTGCAAGACCGAGTGAGGGCAGTACTCAAACGCGTGAAGGAATATGGTTCCCGCCTGAGGACCGACAGGTGCCAATTCTTCCACGACTCCGGCATCTAACCGGATTTGTTTTTTGTCGTCACCGATTGTCATCCAGATCCTGTAAACCCTTGGGCCATGCAACGATGTCTGCGCCGAAGAATATATCGTAACTTGATTCGTATCGTGAGCTGATTAGCGACTACAGGGCCTTCTACAATCGCTGAATGACGTACGGAGCCGGCTTAACTGTCTGGTGCAGAATGATGCTCACTGGTGCCGCTTCTCAGAATGCGTAAGGGCCTGCACCCGGATAAAGGCGATTTTGAGGTCAGATCTACCGCTCAAGCACTACGACCCGACGCTGCCGATCGTTGTTGCTGCAGATGTTTCCAAAGCTGGAGTTGTTTTCGTCATCATACATATTTCTCCTGACAGGTCTAAAAGGGTGATCATGCATTTATATCGCACGCTAACCCCGGCGGAGAAGATCTACGGGCAAATAGACAAAGATAATCTAGTCCGCGTGTTTGCCGCCAAGAAGTTCCACAATTCGTGTTGTTGGCGGACCACAAACCATCGCCGTCAATCTTCGGACCGAAGAAGGACATTCCTGTCTGCTCAACATGGCAGACGTCAGCGACTTTCTTAGATACGTTTTCGAAATTCTCTATTGCCGTACTACCGACTATGGTCAGGCTGACACCTATTCTCGCCTCATCTGCAATTAGCAGGAACCTGAGGATGACATTGTGATTGCCGCTATTTCGATTGAGGACGATGTGCGCCGTCTCCTCTCAGATGACATACAGGGTATCCCAGTCACTACCGCGGACATCTGACATGCTACTGAACCGGATCCTGACCTCCGTCAGGCCATCACCTACGTGCAGACCTGCTGGCGAACCACTGCTCTTGCTGGAGATCTTCGGCAACCCTTGATCCGCTGAGCATTGCTATCTGTGTTTAACTCCTGCCTCATGTTTGCGGACCGTATGGTGATCCCATCTTCCCTCTGACCCACTGTAATACGTCACTTCGATGCGACCCATCCTGCTACCAGTCGAATGAAGTCTATTGCTCACAGTTTTGATTACTTGTCGGATTTTGAGGGTGACATAAACAACCTGGTTCGACGTTGTTCTTGATGTCAGAAAGCTGTCAGGATGCCGCCTCCTAAAACGGCAGTATTCTGGCAAGCACCGGAGAGGCCTTAGTCACGCGTGCATATCAACTTCGCTGACCCACTTAATGGAATCTCCTACCTAATCTTGATTGACGCCTACTCGAAGTGGCCCGAGATTGTTCCGTTGAATCCAGCGACCGCATATGCCACTATCGCCTTCCTACGACGAACCTTTAGTAAAAATGACTTATCGCAAGTCCTGGTTTCACATAAAGGCTCTCAGTTTACTACGCCGACGTTTGAGGATTTCTGCCGCCAGCACAACATCCAGCATCCTCACTCAACGCCCTACCATCCTCAGTCTCACGGCCAAGAGAAGCGTTTTGCCGACACTTTTAAGGGAGTCCTTTTGAAAGCTGGTGGGGAAGGAACCACAGATGAGATAGTCTAGGCGTTCCTGTTTTCCTACAGGACAACACCGAACCCGGTATCCCCTGGTGGTGTTTCTCCTGCCGATGCGTTGATGGATCGTAATCTGCGAACAACGTTTCCTGCCCTCGTTCCTACCAGTGTGCAGTCCGCGCAGACTTGTTTGGTCTCTCACAGCAAACTTTCCGTCAGAACACCTGTCTTTGTTCGTGAGTATCCAGGTGGGTTCCCATACTGGATTGAGGCAACCGTAGTAGCGCACAGAGGCAGTATGTTGTTTGATGTCGACGTTGATGATTACATCTGGGTTCGCCACCACAACAAGATCCGACGGCGGCATTGCAGTAGTGCAAGCGGCTCGAGTCGGTGCCGTCACTCCCTCTTAACACCCTACTGGATATCTTCTCCATTCCGGCAGATCGGTCGGTAGTCTAAACCACTGCTACGTCCCGAACGGAGTTATCGTCGTCGGTATCAGTCACTGCCCCGTGTCTCCAGACAATAAACCACGACGAAGACGCCGGCCCAACCGAGTGCGCCGATCCACACGGCCGATGCAGGTCAATCCAAGCCAAATGCGGTACTGACCTACTTGGAGGGAGGTGGTGGGTAGTGCCAACACTCCCAAAAACAAGAGCCAGCCAATCATCGGAGGCCACGTGCGTTTTCTCGACAGCGCTGTCATCTTAATTGTAGCGCCTCTCCATTGACTTCTCCCTCGGGCCTGATTGATCTGCGTATTCGAATTATCGATCAGTTCGTCTGGAATTTTCCTCTCGAAGGGCATTGGGCCGAATGCCGGCGAATGAGAGTAGGGCGTTATAAATGTGCGTTACTTCCAGTTTATCTTGACTTGCAATTCACTAATACACATTTTCCTGGCCGGTCGACTTCTCCTTCTCTGCCGCGTTCGTATTTGGGGACAAGAGTCGGGTACGTATACGCTCCCACGTGCTTTTAAGTACCAGGCCGGGTCATAACAGTATTGTACTCCACATCCTTATATCATCAGTAAACATTGCGACATCCGATTCAAGTTTTTTCGTACAGTCGTTGACGTATAGAATAAAAATAGTTGGGCCAAGAACGGAGCCTTGGGGAACACCAGTCTTAACGACAACCTCCGCTGTCTGCTGGTCATTAGCATGGAATTTTTAAAATCGGCAGAGTAAAAGGTTCGAGATCCAGTTTGAATTCTCTCCATGCTATGTGACAAATGCCCTGTATTGGGTTTTTTGAATTTTGTTTGCCCTTATGAATGAGGTGCTTCTGTCAGTAAGCGATGTTTTCCACAGACTTTCCTTTTTGTTCACCATATTTCTCAATGCTTTCGTAAGCCACCCAGGTCTGCCTGTTAACCTCTTTCGTAAGAGATGACCGTGGTTTTTGGCGAGTCTGTGAACTGCTCATCAGAAAGGTTGTCAGTCCTCGTGTATGCCTCCAACAAATACGGGTGCCCACTCAATGCGTGTAATGCAAGCCACCATTTGGTTGTAATCACCGCGTCAGATTGTTCCTCTCGGACAAGAAAAAGAAACGAGTAATTCCACAGTAGAACGATGTGATCACTTTTACATGGGGGTGGTAGGCACGCAACCGCATCAATGCTGTCCTGGGAATTCGAAAAGGCAAGAATAGGGCGGCTGACCTGTTGGCCTTCATTTGCTTTATTTGGGAACGTGATGCACCGAGTGAGAAATAAATTCAGCGTCGTATTATCAAGACCTCCGTCGAAGATCTGTTATGAGCTACAGTGCGTGGCATATCTCATGAAATGTTGGCTGAAATTCTGAAATGCGTTTTCGATTAGGAAGGATTACTTGGTCACGGATGTGATATTGATTAGCTTAAGGTATATTCTTATAACATTTTAGACTTGGCAGGATGTCAGCTTTAAAATTCACTTCTTTTCAATCTCGTGTAGAACACGTGCTTGGTTAAAATGACTACTTAAGTAGCATGCATTTTTCACATTGATTTTCGATGGTCTTGGAAATTCAAATGTGTTTTATAGAAATCGCAAACAAAAATGTGCTTTCTTTTAGTCAATCGACAGAAAATCACGTCTTCTTTATATTTTATACTTGAGGAAGGTGTATAATTAGGTTCTAAAAAGTGTTCTAATTGCCCAAAAAATTAGAGCCTGAACATTCGTTGTATTAGCGCTTAGTGATTACACTCTACAAGGTGCGTTCGTTCCGCGTAAAGAGAATCCCATATTGTTATGTCATTAAAGAGATATCATACAGGGTCCATAAAATTTTGCAATGGATGCGGACCATGTTGTACATTTCATGAGGAGCAGTGGTAAACGGCCAGGTACGATGCTATATGAATGGACATAACGCGGCCTTAAAACCTAATTATACTCCTTTCTTAAATATAAGGCATAAAGAAGACGTGATTTTCTATTGATTGACTATAAGAAAGCACGTGTTTTGTTTGTGTTTTCTATAAAATATATTTGAATTTCCAAGACCATCGAAAATCAATGGAAAAAATGTATGCTAATTAAATAGTCATTTTTTACCAAGCACGCTTTCTACAGGAGATTAAAATAAGTGCATTTTAAAGCCGACATCCTACCAAGTTTAACATGTTATAAGTGTATGCCTTAAGATAATCGCTATCACAACCGTGACCAAGTAATCATTCCTAATCGAAAACACATTTCAGAATTTTAGCCAACATTTCATGAGATAGGTCACGCACTGTATATGAGTTGGCCGAACTCCAGTCAGCCATGATCAGGATATCCGTCAGTGTAGCAAACACTGCAGACTCCTATCAACATGAGAGTTTTGACAAAGTGGTCCCGTCTCGGCGTTCAAGAGACAATTAGGCTAAATATAATTTCAAAAATTGAGTTTGCTAATTTACCCCACATATTTACGTCTTTTTGTCATTTCCGCATCTTATGGGAAAATTATTTAGTCAATTAGCAAGGCATCAGTGTTCTTAATATTTATGTCGTTTATTCACTCAAATAAACACGGTCCGTTTCTTGTTTTGCTTTTTGTTAATGCACATGAAATCTTTTTAAAATTTGCTTGATATTTTTCGTTAACATGGATAACTGCTTGCAGATAAACTGAAAATTATACTTGTTGTTTTTGCTATTATCGCGGAACTCAAATTACATCCTTTTAAATTAATGTACATGGTTTAAAATGCCGCTGAGCTCTGCGACACAATTACAAAAATATGCTTTGATTTTTACAGACTTACTTCCGAAACTACGTCGTTCTGTTTTTAAATTAGTCGTTATTTGAATATCCATTTGTCAACAGAGGTGCTCAGTGAAACTGCATTCGGAAGTAATCTATTTTTGCAACGACTGTTGCTTTCGAACTCGCCACCTGTTAGTTAGAAGTCTAACAACTCTAACCACGGAGCCACGGTCCCGTTGTACTGTCGGGACTATACAATGGTTGAGGGACGCTCACCGATCGGGTCACAATGGGGCCAGGGTGCCGATCTGGCCACTGCACTATATAGAATTCGCAAATTCTATTAAAGCAAGATT